ATGATCCCCCAGCCGGCCATCTCCACTCCGTCGCACTGCAGATAGAACCTGCCGCTTCTGGCAGCCAACATGGGGGAGCTCAGCATGGTTGGTGAAGGCACTAGAAAATACACACACACACGCGCGCACACACACACATCCGGCTATGTTCTCGTTCATAAAAATGCATGGCTTTTCACACCCCATCTACCTTAATCCCAACTTCCTGTGTAAAGGTCGCAGAAAGTGCCCGAAGGCTAGTGTTTTTACCTCACTGCAAGTTGGCGAGGTCCAACTGTGCACAATGGCATGTCGTCAAGGATAGATGTTTTCTCACAAAAACCCTGATTGCCTTGATACCATTAGCCTTTTACATCATTTATTCCTGAGCCGAGTGAGAAACGATGACTAGGTAGAGCTCACAATTCTCATAGAACACCATCACTAAAGCTAATATCAAACACCCATGTCCACCTATTATCAACGTTTCTCAGCTAAAGACGTTATGCCTCTGTATTCAGTCACAACAGCTCCAGTCAGGCTAAATAATTCTTTTTTCCCCTTTTAGCAAAACAGCTAAACATTTGTTGTCATCATGATTCTGTTGTTGTTTTCTTCATTCTGCTGTCGTATGGATTGTCACCTTTAATTGCTAAGTTGACTGGTTTATATATTTGTTAGTATATTGTTCGTTTAAACTGCCATAGTGTTACACAGTCTGTAGTGCTACCCACAATGCCACTGTGTCCTCAGGCCCTGTAGTGCCACATCTCCTTGACAGCAGATGTCTCTGAATAGACAGGTTAATTAGTCTGTGCTTTTCTTTTTATGTCTTTGTGATGTTTATGAAGCACATCAACTTCCTTGAGTGTCACTTTCTTTTGCTCTCGTCGGCCGACACGTTGTTTTTTTCTTTGTTTATAGATGTTAACACTCATAGAAAAAAAAAACACTGTACAATTAAACGATCACACCTCATTTTCAGAATTAATCACTCTCTGTAATAAAAATAAAACCGAATGCGAGAGTAAATAACTTGTGAAGACACCATCTGCAGTGGTGAGAGTGCCCCTGTTTGCTCTCGGTTATAGTCCCTCGTTTCCTCCACCCCAGCCACATTCTTTTCCACCCCACCACAAGCAGACATTAAATAGACAAGGCAGAAGCTCTCCACTCTGCACGTGACCACCCCCTGTTTAGTATTCCTGCCACGTCTGGCTGAGGGAGCGGCATTAAATTGGGATCAGGCAGATTAGAGTATAATATAGACGACTATTAAAGGCTGCAATTGAGAGCCATGGGTTAGAGCCTGAGCAGGGGCCCAGTCTGCCTCCATGCCAGTCCAATATACACTCACCGAGACAATGGCACTGTGAAATGAAAATGCAAGAAAAAAAATGTGACCCCCAGTCGATGATCATCATTAACCAAACAGCCAGCAGGAGGCTAAGTGCATAAATCAATTTGCCTTTTTTTTAAAAATACACTCATGTAACTTAAAATGTTTTCTTTAAACCTTTCTTTAAACAACCACACGTTTGGATCTGTTGGTCTGTCTTATTGTATCACCAAACAAATGTTAAACAGGGTGAAGAACAGTTAGCTGCTCACCTTTGTGTTCGGTGTGGTTTGTTTAGGGAAGTGGTTCTCTAATGGGGGTAGTCATTCGGATTAGTTAGTCGGATTCACTAATTCAAATTATCATATGATGATAAATATTTATTACATGTCTAATATCTTTCTTGGACATTTCTCATACATTTTCAATGTGTGGTTCTTACATGTAACTAAAGTAAAGTGTAAAAAAAATAGGTAATGGCAAATTATTCCAAGGGATAACTGGTCCCTGGAATATTTTTATCTTGTAGGGGATCCTTGGCTGAGAAGGAAACTGGAGAAGCTCTGATCGAGGCTGTTTTATATTTTATTTACTGTCACTGAAATCACTGGACTGTGCCCTCCTCAGAATTTGAGTGCCCAAGCTTAGGTGTGGACTGTGGTTTGAATTAAAGCAGACCAATCACAGGATTTTAGAATGTGTTGATTCCTTTAAGTTGCTCTCTTAACCAATAATGTGACTCACGGCCAGTTATTCTTCAAAACATCTTTCGCACGCCAAAGAGCATAAATATGCATCTATGATAGTTAAACATCTGACATACACGACTCATTGTCAACTACCAAAGATTGATGTGTAGAATCTGAACATTCCTGACACTAGCACAAACAGAAGCTTCCCCTACTGATTCAACTGGGGGGCACCCTGTCATTAATTAAAAAAACAAAAATATTTAAGTATAAGTGGAATTATGTCACAATGACATGTTGGGGCTAAAACATAGCGCAGATTCAGATCAGAAAATGCTTGAAATCCTTGACAACACCTCTGCAGCCAAAACTACTGGACCTGGACCTGAGAATAATGATGCATCTGTTGCTCTTCTGTCCGTCCTGGGAGAGGGATCCCTCACGTGTCTATGTTTTTTCCCCTGTTGAGGGTTAAGGGCAGAGGATGATGCACCTTGTTAAATCCTATGAGACAAATTGTTATTTGTCAATATGGGCTATACAATTGATTGATTGATTGAAATATTACACCAGAAACCTGCTTACACGTTTTATGTAACTTACTGCCAAGAGTCTTTATCATAATGATTTGACAGGGACATCATTTTAGGAGTTCCCCTGGGTCTCCTCTCATTCTCCACTCAAAGATATTGAGTAACAAAAATGGATAGTATTTGGATGAAAGGGGCAGAATCTAGATAAACAGTGTGAATGGAATAGGCAGGCTGAGAACAGAGATCACTGTGGTGAAGTCCAGCTCTTTGGGGCACAAATATTCATGTCCAGCCAAACCTTTGATTCTCAGTCGACCCTCTGTACCCTCTCCTCAGATTTCATGGCAGCGTTCAGTCACCCTGGCCATTAGGGCAGCAGCTTTCCTCCAAGTGGAAGTGTTCCATAATTTTGCCATGTACTACACACAGCAGTGCAGTATGGGCCATTGCACAGTGTATCTGAGGGACCTTATATGAGTGACATTCCCTATAAAAGGCAGATGTTAACAATGTAGGTGACACTGTGAAGCCTAGCGCTGCCACTGGACCATATCCCATCCACTTAAAGATCTTTTTTTGATCTCTTGCAGAACCATGTGCGTATGTTCAGCATGTCCTTTAGGGAAAGTCATGGAGCTGCCTCACTATTAACAGGACAGTGAGGACAGGAGGTTTGGAAAAGGAAGAAGACAAGCGTTTTTGTCATCGTTGGTTTTAAACACTGTGAGTTGTAAAAGTAGTGATACTTTTAGAAGTGATAGTTTTATTAATGATACGAGCAGCAATGGAACAAGAACCAATTAGTTAAATTAGTAGTAGTCTTTATTTTAAAATGAATGATGATGATAAGCATCAACATGGCGTCACTTCTCATCACAGACGGCCAGAGAAAAGCATTCGCCCAGAATATTTGCCACTGCTGTGTTCAGCTGCGTCGTTAAAGCTCCGGCTGCATCCGATTTTCATTTCTGCTTTTTTTTCATAATTCATATTTCATAGTAGATTTTGAAGTAACTGTTTTAAGGTTAACATTACTGTGGGTGAATGTTTGGGTAAGGTTAGGTTAAGATTAGTTTGGGCAACTATAGGTCTCAAGGATATTTCAAAGAAATGTCATCTGAAGCCATGAATATACCTCTCTGAGGGTGTGTGTGTGTGTGTGTGTGTGTGTGTGCGTGTGTGTGTGCGTGTGTGTGTCAAACCATGTAAATTGTCTTGTAAAGTCCATCATATCATTTTCATATTCCTGGACCTATTTGTCACATTCTTTTAATTTCCTGAACAAAACAAAAGAGCCGTCACATTATGTCAAAATAATCCAGTGAAGTTTTAAAGCAGAAACAAGTTTTGTATAAAAGCTTTGTATAAAATATCAGCAGCAGATATTTGGGGGGTTGGGTAGTGGTTGATTACATTACAACCTTTCCTTTGGGTGGTAGAGAGGTATTCTGGGAAATGATTACACAAACTGAGGTAAACATAGAGGAAACAAGTTAGTGGCCGCACCACAAGAAGGGCTTGTAGAGATGCAGTAAAATGATAATCAGTGCTCCTTGATGCACACAGTTTACAGATAAACAATCAGTGGTGGAGTGATGTAGAAGTAGGTATGCTCTTAATTTATGCCAGATTATTTTAGATAAAGATAAATATTGCATATTATTGAAACGTGAGACTACTCTATATTGTGTTTTGCCAGAAATTGTAGTATTTGTACATTGTCCTTTAATATCTGATGCAGATGCAGATTTTGCATCAGTACAGGCCCACAGACGTGATGGGTGAGAGATGATCAAGCATTTTGAGTCAACTATTTCTTATTCCATCCACACATGGAAGTTATTCTCTCATCTATTCTCTAATATTTCTGGACAAATATTGCAGTTTGAATAAACAAATATGACTTATGACATATATAAACAACTCCACTGCATATTATTATCATCAGTTATCAAGGTTCTGCCATTAAAAAGTGCTCATGGTTGACATCTTCACTAGAGACAGAATCTGTCACCATCAGCATCCTCTCTGACAGGGGTGGGGGATGGAGCCTGCACCGGTGCGGGCGCTGAACTCCCATCACTACCTGAGCTGGTGGCTAGCAGCATCAAGGTAGCAGCATAAGGTTGTTTCTGCTGAAAATGTCTGTTTGGGTAGTTCATGTCGTGTTTGAATTTCATTGAAATCAGTATTTTGCTGCATTTTTAATGGGATGGGCAAAAGTCCTCATATCTAAACCTAACAACCCAACCAACAAAGACAACGAGTACTAACCAATCAGAGGCAGAGTAAGGCAGATGGTGCTTTCACTGCCGTTGCAGGACACTGTTGAATGATGCACACCAAAAGGCAATTTAGAAGTAGATATGCTGAATGATGTATACCTGCACTACACCACTGTACACAATTAATAATATAACACTTAAGATTGTCTCTCTCTCTTTCTTTCTGTCTCCTCAGACATCCACTGTTCCCCCTGCTGGCGTTGTTGTTTGAGAAATGTGAGCAGGCCACACAGGGATCTGAATGCATCACGTCTGCCAGCTTTGATGTGGACATAGAAAACTTTGTGCACCAGCAGGAGCGAGAACACAAGCCCTTCTTCAGCGAAGATCCAGAGCTCGACAACTTGGTGAGCCAACTCATGTGACAAAGCCAATGCAATGACAGAGCTGCAGATATTTCTGTTTGCAGTGCATCCCGTCACCACTGCTCCTAGTCATCCCCTCCTCTTTCATGTAATCCTACACTTCCCCTTGTACTACACCTAGCAGTGATTGAGAGGAGGAAGTTGATCATGCTCACTGAGGAACGATGAGGAGGCGGAGCTACCATCAGAGAGAGACAAAGATGGAGATGAGGAAAAAAAAGAGAAAAGAGTGCACTTTTGCTATTACAGTATTGGGATGGCAGGCTGACAAGTGCTGAACAGTCAATTAACCCTGCATCTGTATGTTTTATGAGGCACTGGGTGTGGGCATCCCTCCCAGAGGGCACTAACTCTTCCACAGGGCAGTAATGTTACACTGGGCTTGACTGGATGTGAGGGTGCAAGAGTTACTGGTCCCTTGATTAGGCGAGCGCAGTTTAATTAGCTGATTTATCTCCTCCTTGGCCCGAGCACTTTCCTGTCCACTCTGTTGACCTTGAGTGGTGACTTTGAGGGAGTGCACCACAGAGTTCCTGCAGAGTGGAGAAAAGCCAGACTATAGATGGTCAGATAACTGCAGAAGAGGAAATACAAAATTATATTGATGCATATCATTCCTGATATCACGCACAATCTAGGTTCGACAGATGTCAAATCAAAAGCGGAAAATCTAAATTATGTCACATTTGTATTTTTTCATTCAGAATGCATAACATTTTCCTTTGGTGTTGGTATTTCTTTTTATTAATACATGTCAGGAAATAAACCTGGTCCCAAGCTGTTTCCTAGCAACACCACTCAACGAAATGGTCTGTTAAATATCAGACAATTGACCATCAGTGTCATCTAACTTTAATATTATAAAAGGTCCTCTCTGACCCCTGCTACTGCATTCATTCGTTTTATTGGAAAATGTCAGAGCAGAGTAATAATTCCATTGTGGCAGTGGAGGATTTTCCTCAACAGCTTCAGGGCTGTCCCCCTCAAAAACTTTAAGGCTATGTGTTCTTAAATCCTGATGCCCGACTGTGTCTGAATCCCCTCCTGGAACACTGTTTTAAATGAAATACTGAATCCCTGTAATTAGGAGAAATAGTTTGTCATGAAAACAGTCCAATTAAAACGGATTATTAATCACAGAATGTTATTTGTATTTCCCCTGCCCTGGAGTTTTGTTCATGCTTTACTTTCCTTATTGCTTTCACTTTACTTTGCAGGTTAAGTGTATTGAGGGACTCACTATTAAACAAATAGTTTGTTTTATCGTGCTGATTTCAAAATGGAAAGTCTTGTTCCCTGCTGTGCTAGTAATGCTTAATGTACAGTAAAACCTTAAATGAACATGATGGCAGTGATGAGGCTTAGCGAATAGCTATGTAAGTAGCTTTTACTTTAGAGTTTACAAAAAGATCACAACAGACTTTTGGGAACAAAACAATATTTTACAAGAAAACTGCATCTCACAATAATCACTTACAGAGGAAGTCTGTGGGACACAGGTGACAGATCAGAATATGTTTTAGACCCAGAAAAACAGATGACATACTGAGTTAAAAGAAAGGAGAGGATTGGAATATGTCAAACGTCCAGACTGTCTTTGGCTTTTTGGATCACTCCTGTAGTACATTTCATTTGAATATGATAGATAGATCATTTAAATTTAAGGTTCAGTGTGAAGGATACAGTGAAAACTAGTGGTCAAGTTGCATGTTGCAGCTGAATACCCCTCACCTCACCCTCCCCGTCCAAATAGGAAAGAGAACCTGTGGAAACCTTCAGTTGTCATAAAAACTCAAAAAGGTTTAGTTTGTCCAGTCTGAGCTACTGCAAAAATATGGCAGCCTCCGTAGAGAGGACCCGCTCCAGATGTAAATATAAAGAATTTGTAAAGAATATGTAAGATTTAGGTGAAGGGAATCTATTCACAGAAATATAATATGTAATACTATTAGCGATGTTTTCACCAGTGTGTGAAAACATCACTAGGATTATTTTATATTCAATTTCAGCCAGTCGATCCTTTTCACCAAAATCTCACACACTGAACTTTTAATGCATTGAACAGACACAACCGTAAACTCTACATAACATTTCATCAACCTCATTATCATGTTACCATGGGAAATATTTTATTTGTTTAATCACTGAAGCCAACAAAACCATTATTACTGACAGACTGGAGAAGCACCAAGTTTGACCTCACAGCATTCCATATTAGATGCTTGTACTGATTTCTGGCTTTTGGAGTATGAAGGATGAAAGGATTACAACCCACCCCTCTGATAATTTTGCAATCTATATGCATCTGTGGAATAAACATTAAAGATGAATGTCACTCCCTGCTCATCAATAAAAGACATCACTTCCTCTCATCACATCTCACTCAAACTGACTGTAAACACCTCAGAATGCTTTTCCAGTCGGCTTTTCCTGACAGTCTGGTTTTGAAATTTTGTTTTACTTATTTTAACATTGTGTTTTCTGCAAAATCACTCAGAATTCACTTCTATTATTAACACTATAGCTACCCCTCAAATTTCACCTCAATTAGAAACTAGTTTTTGTTATCTATATTTTGTAAAAGTAGAAACATAACTGAAAAATATATTCAGTTATTTCCAATTTTTAAATAGCATTGTTATTTGATGGATACAAATTTACAGTGTTAAGATGGTTTAATGTGTTTTTCTCTTTTCCCTTTTAAAAATTGTAAAACTAACCAAATGATTGAAATATTTATAAATTTTTTGTGGAAAATCCATTAAGATCCCTTGATTGTTTTTGTTTTCAAAATGCCCTTAGAATTCCATTAAAGACATCTTAATCATCCATGAATGGGCAAATTGAAGTATTTTTTAAAAATGTTAGTAAAACAGTAAAGGATGCAGTTTTGTATTCTGTTGTGAATGTGTTGAGTGTCATGCTTTGTTTCCTTCAGATGGTAAAGGCCATTCAGGTGTTGAGGATCCACCTCTTGGAACTAGAGAAGGTCAATGAGCTCTGTAAGGATTTCTGCAACCGTTACATCACCTGCCTGAAGACCAAGATGCACAGTGACAACCTCCTCCGTAATGACTTGGGAGGACCCTATTCCCCAACACACACCAGTCTCAGCATGCAGCAGGTCAGTCAGACTGTGTGGACTCTACTGTTCCTTCATGGTATCCCTTTCTGAGCAGCACTGCCCAAGAGCCCAATCTTGTCACTAGGTGGATTTTGTTGTTGGGAATTTTTCCAGTCACAAACAGTAGTGCTACATGTTTGCTCACTAGTGTCTCTCTGTGATCCCCCCAGGAACTAATTCAGACCTCCTCTCCATCCATGACCTCTGTCTCCAGCTCTGTTAACCCTTCAGGGATTGTGGTGCCCACCGGGGGTCTGCAACAGGGCAATGTCGCCATGACTACCATAAACTCTCAACTGGTTTCAGGTAAGCATGAAATCACACACGCATACATTAAAACACCATGACCTGACACTTACACCTTCAAGATTCAAATTGTCTTAATATTCAATTCAAATTTATTTGTATTGCGCCAAATCATAATACACATGATCCCTAGGCAATTGTGAGTACAATGTCAGTGAATATTCCGAGTACTTCATTCCTTTGAAATCTTTTACATTCATGGTAGTTGCGTTGGTTCAGGGTGTTCTGGCCTGACAGTCAATTCACACAGACTGTGGAGATCTCAATTTTCCATTATCACACTTGCTTAACAATTTTTGCACCCCTCCAGTATTATAAGCATATATATTATAATATGTTATGATCACCTTTATACATATTAGTTGTTAAGTCTCTTAACTCTTCCTTTTTCCAATAGATAATATTTGATACATGCTTTTCCATGCTCAAAACTGTAGTAATTAAAAAAGAAAACAAAGATTCATATTGTTTTTGACAGGGGGATGCATAGAATATTGAAACAGCGTTATGTAGTTATTTTATTACTAGAGGATAAATGATCGCTACCAGTTTGTATTGTGCATATATTTTGCTCTGCTGAAGTTTCCATTCACTGATATACAAGTGGTTTTGATTTATATAATGTCCTTCTTCTACACATGCCTCCTGGAATGTGAGGTCCCTTAAGGATCTATTGTGGGACTACTTTTGTTTTTCTTTTTGTATGCTCTTAACGGGTCTCATTTTCCAGAGATTTGACATAAAATGTGTTCAGGTGTGTCACAAATGTTTTACAATTTAACTAAGCTATATATCGAGAGAGATTTTTCTATTTGGCCATTCTTTCACTCTTCTTTGCCAGTCACAGTTCATCTATCATTCATAATTCAAAATGCTGATGCTCAACTCTTGCCAAATGATAAATCATTTTAACATAATTTATTATAAATCAACCATACATTATTTAACTTAATAATCTTGATACATTAATATTCTTCTTCTTTATTAAGTGATTATTTTTGCAAATGTTATCACTTTTCTGTTTTCTTTTTTATCTTTTATAAATAAAAAAGAAATTACTATTATAATGGATGGATGGATGGATGGATAATTATCAATATTCTCACCTCATATCAAGACCAACACATCCATGCGGCCTGATATGGGTGCAAGTGCATTTGCTATTTAGATAATGTGGGTGCTGGTGGGGAGAACGTCGACTGCAAAAGGGCTTTGCACTGATCATACCAGACAAACTGACACATGAGACAAGAAATATTTAAAGCTATGTTTCAGTTTGAAAGTAACACCAATTAGTATCATGATTTCTCATGAATAATCCATAATGTGAAATAAAGTATATATTAAACAATAATGAGCTTGGCTAGCATCTTGGTTCACTCCAGCCAAGTACACAGCTTTTTGAAAGGATGTGAAACATTAAACTGCTATTACATAAAATGTTAATCTTCAGCTATACTGGCAGATTTTTTGTGTTCTTGTGTATCAGAGAGCCATGGTATGTTTCTGTCAGTGAGTGCTTGGCTGGTAGGTTCTTATGATGTCAAGCCTCTACAGTGGAATGTTAATCCTGTCCCCCGGAAATCCCTTTTAACCCAAAATAAATCAATGTCTCTGCCTTTGATCACTACACATTGAAGAGCTCAAACAGACTGTGATAAGAGTGTCTTGATCAAGGCTAATTAACCCAGGAGCAAAAACACCCTCGCCTCTTCTTCTTTTTCCTGGGTTAAGGGGAACTAATGCACCTTGAATTTAATCATTTAGTCTCTTGTTTGCCTTGTTTTTGTTTGCGGGGCTGACAGGAAGTTAATAAGGCTCTGGTGGTAGAGCGGGATGTGGCTGCCAGTAGCTGCCGAAGCCACTTGATACTCATGATGGCAAATTATCCCCTCAGGTGGGACCCTGTACCAGCCGGTTGCCATGGTGACATCACAAGGGCAAGTGTTAACGCAGGCACTGCCACCAGGAACCATCCAGATCCAGAACTCACAGGTAACGCTGCTGGGCTGCTGATGCTCAGGCCGACACCCCCCCTCCCTGTGCCCTCATCACCCACTGTCTCAATTTGTTCTTATTAAACGGGGCCTCTCTACATCTCACAGAATGCCCCTGGGCGCCTTTTCATTCGCTCTGTCTGAACATGACCCCCTGCTGAGACACAAAATGGAAATTGTTTATTCCCATGTTGTGCAGGGCGCTGACATGATCCTGTCAGGTACGGCGGCAGATGACGGATGTCATTAACTCACGACTAACCTTGTTTATAGATCAAGTATTTTTAAAGATGTGATTTTCGCTGATGCAAGAAATGAAAAAGGATAGTTGCCACAGACCAATCCGAATCCTAGATTTTACATCTTATTGGTAGACAACCTTTTTGACTCTTCAGGAGAGTAAAGTATTATGGGTGGGAAATATTATGTATGCCACCATTTTATCTCCTTTCTGTGAGGGTTTAGAACAGTCAACCCCACATGAATGCCTGGAATTGGATTTTTTATGACACAAGGACACATTTGTGGTTTGAATATTTCCTTTCTTTCGTGTTTTTAACACTCGCTGGGTCTTTACCTCTTTATGAGCAAGAGGTTGTGGAGATGAATGAGCCTCATACCTGTTTCAACTAATCAAATTCATTATTTAGAGCTACTGTACATCATTCAAATGGAGAGACTGAAACACAGTTAGTCAACTTCAAAAGGCAAACAGGGGTTCACATTCCCCCCAATAAATGAAAAATGGAAATTTGGCTCCATCCCAGATGTTTGAATGCCCAGTCATCCCTCCTTTGTCTATTTGTCTCTGAACAGTGTTATAGTGAAGTGACCAGATTATCATTATCATCCACCCATCCCTCCATCCATCCATCCATTCATCCACCCATCCATTTAGACTCAGCCACTGTATGAAAAACATCTATGGGTTTTTTAGCTTTACATCCTGGTTGTGGATGGTGGTGGTGGATCATGATGGCAGCTGATCATGGACTATGATCACAACAAGACTGCTTACATTTACTTATGTATAAATACTTTAGACATTTACACATTTTTTCCCTTGTTAAAAGTTTTTTGGGGAGGGTTAAGGACAGAGGATATCACACCTTGTTAAGCCCTATGAGACAAATTCTGATTTGTGAATATGGGCGATACAAAATTGTATCGATTGATTGACATCCCAGTATAATTAATTTACTGTGCTACATCTCTGTGTGATGAGTTAATCTGATGTGTGTGTCCCATAGTGAATCCTCCCAACTGAAGAACTTTTTAAACCATTCTGTAACTTATCTGTACCGTCTGGTGGTTGGGGGTCAGCTTTTTTTTTTTTACATCAAGCTAGGAGAGGAGTGTTTGTACAAAGACCCTCCCTCCCCTGAGAGACTGCATCAAGAGCAGAAACCTTCATCTGAAAGTGGAGAACCTGAGGCACTTGAGACCTTGTTTAGTTTGCTCACAGGATCTTTTCGGAGTCAGAATGTCTTTGTTTTGCTGTGTACAACGGAAGCACAAGGATTCTGACCTGGATAATTGTTGCTGGCTCATTAAAAGACAGTCACAACACAGGACGGAGACACCACAATGAAAGCTGAAGACACAGGCAGACTAAATATTTTGTGTGAAAGTTGGTTAAAACATACAAAACACAAGAATTCCATTATTGAGTCAAATGCCTGGGATTGGTTATTCCCCTGGCAAATTATCTCAGATGGAAAAGTAGAGAAATCACTATTTACATTGTATAACGTAGTGGTCTTTAATGTTTGCAGTATGTTTACTACAAACATTGATGTTATTGGAAATGTTCAGATTAACATGAGCATCTAAATACTCCTGAGCAGGGTGTGTGGCGTTATTGAATATAAGAGACCAGGTTTTTATTGAGCCACACAACGGACTGGCAATGCACTATTAAAATATGCAACAGAGGATAATGAATTAAATTCAAAGGGAAAACCAATTTTCCTTTTAAATTGAATTCTGCTCTTCAGAGTTGTGCAAAACGAGGCAGAAAATGAAGTTGTAACTAGTTTTTGAACCACACAAGAAATAACAAAATTAGAAATCAGAATAACTAATTAAATTTAGTTTGAATTTAAATACATTTTTAAAATGCCATTTTACAACCGCTGCCTTTAGTCTTTTTCTAGACAGTTCAGACTTTGTGTATCCACTAGAGAAGCACCAGGCTACATAGATTAACCTGAGAGGCCAGTATTTGTCTGCCTTGGTACTTGCTTATAGATATGAATAAAAAAGTGCGCCTGGAGAGCGTCTCAGTTTCAGGCAGGTAATTCTTTGCTTGACAGTTAGAGGGGGCCTTGGTGAATAGCCGCGACCCAGTCGAGGCCGAATCTTACATGCAGGCTGGGAATTGAACACCGCCCCGTCAGTACTTTGCCGACAAGCCCGGAGTAATCACACTCCCGAGCTTGGGGTCGCCAATTAATTCAACCTTGCTTTTCCCCCGGAACACCCATGCTCCCAGGGCTGAGAGGGGGGGCTGAGAGAGGGGGGGGCTGAGAGAGGGGGGGGCTGAGAGGAGGGGGATCCACATGACACCCAGCTGCAGAGTAATGAGTCTTGTTCTGTGTAGGGAGGATGACGGTGGATCTGAGTGGGTGTGAATGTGCATTTATGGGCATTGTATGTGTGAAGGGGTCCGTTATTTATTTATTCAGGCATGCTTTTGTCCGGCATGATTATACACATGAAATTTTCATAAGCATTTTAGCCCCATTCAGAAAAAAAAGCCCTGTTAGTGCCTGGTGCAATGACAATGACAGATTAAAATGACTGGCTCATATGATACATTCATATTAGATATTACATATTTATGAATATGCAGGCATTAAAAGATAGTGTGTGTGTGTGTGTGTGTTTTGATGTATAGTTCTTTGCACATAGTGTCACACAGGGTTTGCTAATGGTTGCTATTGAGGGCTCATTGTGTTTCATATTATCTGCCTCAGAGCCCACACTTTATCTCTACAGTGAATTGAGCACACACATATCGTAGCATGGTGCACACACACACACACACACACACACACACACACACATATACAGTACACACGTGTCTTTTTTTTCATTTAGTGCATTGACTTACAGTCTTTCTCTGGGGACTTCACTATCTCTTAAACCTAAGTAATTCATGCTTCACCTTAGCTTTTGTGTTAACCTTAACTTACCTTCAATTAACCAAAACTATTCACATTTCAATGTCTTATATCAGACAGACTGGTGGAGATCTTTCAGATCACAGATCAGCACAACTGCTGAGGGGATGTTGAAAATCTAAGTTGCATATTCTATATTTGTCTAATTTTAACGATAACTAAAACATTTAAAGTCCAGCTTTTGAATTCTTTCTGACCCCAACGTGTCTGTCACTCAGTCAGAGTCCAGACTAATATATGCTTTCACTTAAAAGAAGCTAAAATAATTTCTGCTGTTTTTAACAAAAATAAAATTTGTGCTGAAGTCTATTTTGAGTGCCAGATTAAGCCACATTTGATGCCTAATGAGAAACCTTAGAGGATGGTGTATGTGGGGTCAAAGCAGTGTTCCTGCAATGAAGGAAGATGTCAAACAGTGAAACAGTGTGGATCACTGATGTGTTTTCAGAGCAGTGGCAGGTCTATGGCACAGGGGACTATCAGGATTTTGATCTGTACACCTGTTATTTGGATAAATATATTGTCGGTTTGGGTCCTTGTATGGGATTTACTGATAATTAGAAATATCACTAAATACCGTTAACTTATTATTTTCAATGCCGTCTTATCTTTACCCATTTATCCTAGAACATCAAAGTTATTTTCTTACCTTAACTTACCCTTGCCTGTAACAATAGGAATATACCCTGAACACCATCACAACCCTAAACCCTAAAGATAGCACTCTAATAAGTCAGCCCTTACAAGTATGGCTCAGCCAGACGAAGCACACACACACACACACACACACACACACACACATCCAAATGGAAGACAAAGACAGCCGATACCCTAAGATGTGTTCGTCCTTCAGCACTCACTCTCCAAACAATAACATCAGAGTAATGATTTCCCACTGATGACAAAGATTGTCAATTCAAAAAACTAAGTCAAACACTATCACACTTTTTAGCAGCTCCTCGCTAATTCAGCTCCAAACTCTGAAATCTAAACTTTTGACCTTGGGGCTTCCCTGACCCTCCAGCCTTTTCAACTTGGTGAAGCACTAAAGAGATCACTGATCCGGCTGTGTTTCCATGTGGTCAAGGGTTCTATTTTTTTATATTTTAAGTATAATTACTCAAACTCAGTTACCATGGTGACACTTGAGGAGGTGTTTCTGCCCTTGCTACAGAAAAGAAGATAAGGTAATTTGTAGTCTCCCTTTGTTTCTGTGGCAACAATAACTAAGCCCCGGCATCCGCTCCTTTCTTCTTTGCTTTTCTTCCCGTCTCCCCCCTTCCTGGTGTTGTAAAGCTAAACGTGGACCTGTCGTCCCTGTTGGACAGCGAAGACAAGAAGTCCAAGAATAAGAGGGGGGTCCTGCCCAAACACGCCACCAATATCATGCGGTCCTGGCTCTTTCAGCATCTCATGGTGAGGCAGAGTCTGTGTGTGTGTGTGTGTGTGTGTGTGTGTGTGTGTGTGTGTGTGTGTTTGCATTATTCTGAAAAGACTGAGACGCTGTTCTCCTTTCTTTCAGCACCCATACCCGACAGAAGATGAGAAAAGGCAGATTGCTGCACAAACAAATCTAACCCTTCTGCAAGTGAACAACTGGTAAGGTTCTGAATGTTAGTGTCACCACAGCCATGACAAAACGACACCACTTTATGCCGTTGCAGTGGAAATATGAGTCGTTGCTTTGCTTAAATTGAACCTTTGATATAATGGAGCGCCTCAGCACATTGCTGGCACCGTGGCTCCATCTTCTGGTCGTATATCTGTAGTACACCAAATTTGTTTTCGAAATACAATGATAGTTTTAATTGTACCTTTGTACACAAGTCAGATAAGCAGAGACTTTATATTGAAAACCTTCTGTATTTAGTGGGAGTAAATATTAAATTATACAAATAATATATTGTATGTATAGGGTCCATTCTTTAAGATAGAACAATATTTGCATTCAGTTTTTCTTCTGTTCTGTCCTGTTCCAAAATGTTTTTACCTTTTACTGATTCTAATAATCTATATTAATCCATGTCTTCTATGCTCTAGGTTCATCAACGCTCGTCGTCGCATCCTCCAGCCCATGCTGGACGCCAGTAACCCAGACCCTTCTCCTAAAGCGAAGAAGATGAAGTCCCAGCACCGTCCCACACAGCGCTTCTGGCCTGACTCCATTGTGGCTGGAGTTCTGCAGACGCACAGATCTCAATCAGGAAACAACTCAGACAGTACGCCAACACCAAACATTTTTTCTACGTGTAATTTATACACACCGATATAAGATTGAGGATTTCATGTTGTATGTTCAAATCTGAACCACTAGGTGCCACTGTTGTCACTTCATGGTTATGTGAGAATACGTGGAGGCAAAAGTCAAGAACAAAGAGAATCAGATTATTGTAAAAAACAAGCATTTGTCCTGCAGGAATCCTGACCCATGTCTCAGCCTGTGTTGGAAACGGTGTGGAGTCCAACTCTGTTGAGTTAGAAAAAAGCAATAGCGGTAAATAGCATCACCCATGGCAACAGACTCTCGTTTTTCATGTCAAGGCCCAGAGAAGAATATAGATTTTAGTTGCTGGGTGTAATTTATTATCTGCTGTCTGTGCTGTAGCTGTTTCAGTAATGTGGAGAAGCAAAGCTTTCTCCAAACCAAATTACTTCACTGTCATAAATTTAACTGAACCAATTTATGAGCATATTTGTGGTAAACTTTAAATGAAAGCTCTGCTTCTAGGTAATAATAAACCGCATTTCATTTATAGTCAAGTTGTTTATTCAGTGTAAGAAATTTCAAATACAAATTTTCCAGTCACGTATCCTCATATGATAAAATACCTCCAGTGAAACTTAAAGTTAAATTGTCTCCATTCTTACAGTCACAAGCCTTTATTAGGTAATCAGAAGGGTCCCACATTAAGTCATATGGCAACACACAGAATGGATTTATATTTATCACCCCATCCTAACCCCCCCACCTCCTCTGTTCCCCTGCCTCCCCTTTAGACCCGCTGAGTCTGGACAGCCTCCAGTCCCTGTCCTCAGACTCAGCCACCCTGGCCATGCAGCAAGCCATGCTGGGAGCTGACGACTCCATGGACGGCACCGAAGAGGATGAAGAGGAGGAGGAGGAAGAGGAGGAGGAGGAGGAGGAAGGAATGGAGGAGGAAGAAGAGGAGGAGGATGGGGAGGAAGAAAACGATAGGGGGAGGCCAATGTCCGGCGGAGGACGGGCGAGGAGAGATCTGAGCATGGAGCACAGAGAGGAACTGGAGTAGAGGATCAGGGACAGAGACACTGTGAATTTTGGTCACAGTTGTCTACTTAACACAGTCTCATTCAAACTCAAACTAGGACGACTCTAATGCTTAGTGACACGAGAGGATTTAAGGGCGTTACATGTTTTCTCCTCTTTCATCAGAGACTCTTGTGCAGAGCCTAATCAGACACAGTGACCATGATCATGAGTATAGAGAATGAATATTAGTTCAATGATTAATATGTGTTGTTTCATTTTAGGACCATATGCTCTTATGCAGTGACGCCAGAAGGTTTGGATAGTTGCACATTTTTTACTCGACAGCTCCCGTTATTTATGGAAGGAAATGACAGAGAGACTGTCATTTTGAAATTGAAGATACTTTTCCCTGTTTTACTGCCCCGGTAATAACAAAAATAACACATGCATCAATAGACAAATCTTCATTTGCTGTGTGTTTAAACTATTACTTAACTGAATGGCAAAAATATTTTAGCACCATGGCACAAAAAGGGCTGCAGCTTTTTTAAGGAAACTGTTTATGACTGAAAGTATAACATTTTCATCTGACAGTCCACAACTGAACTTTGCAGTTCATGTGTCATTTCCCTTCCTAAAATAAAAGTGAGGCAGAAGAGGACACTAAAAAAGACGATGTAATGCAGGAGTGCAAAATATCCACAGAAATGACTGTGTATGGGACATCAATAGAACATTCACGCCTTTTAAGTGACTCAGGTTGAACAACACTCATCCAACAAATTTTTCCTCCCTCATGAGGAAACACTTGACTCATCGCCCCAGCAAATCTTTTTCGGGCAGGACTTTTGGAACAATCTTTATTTTTGTCTTCTAACATGAGCAAAAAAAAAAGAAACCTGTAGTAAACCAGTGTATTCTGACTGCACATGTAGTATGTATATTGGATTTTTCATATGTTTGCATTCTGCTGTTGAAGGTTTGCATATTTATTCTGTTTTTTTCCTGCGTGGCCTCGGAGGGAAGCTAAAGGAACAACTCGACAACGACAGTTTCTTCTGCGCACATTGTAGGTTATTGCAAACTTTAAAAAAAAAAATGTAGTGGCCGCACACGACTTCAACCATCAACTGTCAGATTTGCTTGTGTACGTTTTGTGACCCCGGGCGATTCCGTCACAAAATAAGAGCATGACAAGCCCTGCAAGTCACCACAAGACTGCATCTGCCGCATCTCATCATCAGGAGGAATCACGCTAAGATGGCCAATGACTTTGGAATCAGACAGCGCCAGCGTCGTTTACTGACTTTTTCACAGAAGAAGACGAGAAAGAGAAATTAAAAAGAAAAAAAACAAACAACTCAGTTGTGACATCTCTTTCAATTTTATGTGAAGGATTTTGAAGAAACTGTGAACCAATTTCAGCTCTTTGTTTTGTACTAAAACAGAAAAATGGAGTCACTCGTTTCTAATGTGAAGATGTCTAGAGAAACAAAAACATGTTATATTGAATGTTCTGATTGTTCATTGTGAAGTATGTTGCTCATTGATGTTCCTTTCTCGGTTGCTTTTTTTAAAATGGATCTTCCAGAACAAGTGACAGACAATAGGAAATATTTCTATTTCATTTGTAAACTTTGTTGTCATAATCTATTGTGTTTCAATAGACCAATTTTAATAATTAAACATGTAAAGGTACTGATTTTGACTTCTGAACATTCTACATATGTTACGTCTCACAAACAGCAAATACGCAGTTTGATTCATGCGAGTAGAGAAGAATGCAACAAAACAATAAAAGCCCAAACAGTTCTCTGCTTCACATACCTTAGTGTGTATGTGTGTGACACTTCTGAACCCGCTCATGTCCTAATTTATTCCAACACATTTCCAGATTACAGAGTTCCCACTCTAAATATTGGTCTAACATCCCACATTTTCCTGTCACATGGGTACTCTCCCACCCACTGGTTATCACTCTATCCTGTGATTTAACTCGGCGGAAGACGCCCACCCAACCGCTCTCCCACCTTTTCAGCCGACTGACACAAAAGAACCCAGCAGAGCTCCTGACCGCAGGGGTTTCCTCTTTTGAAATGTGGATTCTTGCTCCCGCAGAATAAATGTTAATCACTGCTGTGGGTGTTTGCTGCACACGCCACATTGCATTGTTTCTGCGCAGCTTGTACGCTTGTATGTAATTGCATCCTTGCGTTGCTTTCTGCCCCACCCCCACCCGTTTTCTGAAAAGGTCAAACTTAAATTTGCGTATAAAATTCCTGTTAGAGTGCACCTCTGCTTCTTTGCTCTCCCTCCAGGCAACAATTTCTTGTCGGAGGAGGAATTTGAAGTGCAGTGGCCATGCAGGTCCTCAAGATAAGGTATTAGGTGTATGTGGGCAACACGTGACGATGGTTAGAGACTTGTTAACACCATGAAGAGGCACTGCTCAAAGCGCTTAAGTTTTCTTATGGGAGGAGACTCAGCCATATTTAGAGAAGTGAGGTTATGGGCAGGACAACTTCTTCTGTAATTATTACTGGACTTAATGTGGAGCAGGTCCAATGTGCAGAACAGCCAGTGGCCCCAGCTGAGCAGTGCAACACCATGTTGGACAAGCAGTGGTATAAATGTAAATATGATAATGTATTCCATACAGTAGCTAAGGTGGGTGTTTTAATTTATCATGGGATGGCATCAGCTCCAGCAGCAGTGCTGCTCATGAATCATTTACCATTGTATTATTTTTTTTATATATATACAGAGTCAGGTTGTTTCCTGTATACCGTGGTTCACTTCAGGCTAGCAGGGGTCAAAGTTCATGAATACAACACGTCAGAATGCAAAGACAGACCGCTGCATTAAATCTTTTAAATATGACAGTGTGTAACCTAAGCAAAGCATGGAGCGTGGTGTCCATGGTCAGGACATCCCAGGAAGCACCTTCACTCTCCACAATGCTGATGAGACAATGTTGAGTGAGCTGATGAAAACTAAGGCTGAACACACTAAGGTGTAAAGGCCACTGTATACAAGCCTGTAAACAGCTAGTTCATTTGAGGCAAATAAAAACAAGTGGGAAAGGTTGGTAGCAGCTGCTGTCATGGTAGAAGAGGTTTTGCGGCATCTACCTGCTAAGTCCACAAATGTCTGTCTGTATGTCTCTCTGTCTGTCTATGTATGTGGAACACACATCTTGCAAATCGAATTTGGTACGATTTGTACACATGGCACTTTCAATATTAATAAAAATGTAATTAAGAGGCGACCAGCGCTCTGTTAGCAGTCAGTGGGGCGGGCAGTGTGCTGACAGTCAGTCTGTACCCAGTTGAATGTGTCTTTTTCTACGTCCTTGGATAAACATCAGGGGTCGGCAACTGGGTCAAACCGTGAGTCAAAAGTGCCACCAGATCATTTAGATTTTTTAATGACTCTTTTTTTAAACTCTTTTTATTCTATCACTAACACAGATATTCACAGCTGTCACGCGTGCTGATCTCTGCCATGGCAACTAGCAATTTGTCTGCAAAGTAAAAGAATAGTGTTTGTTTTGTTGCTGTAATGCTTAAATTGAGCTAAATTACAGAGCTTGTATTTTGAAATTTGACTTCGGTCTGAAGATTGTGTCAGTACAGACCTGAAAAAGCTGACATGCAATGTAGAAAATAACACCAGCTGAGTAAATGATTCAAACTTTTATATGAGCGACACACATGGTAAAACAAATTCAGTTTCATTTTCATCAAAAACATTGACATGGACACACGATGCAGATAAACCAGGTTGGATGAACACAAACTGACTCTGCACAATAAACTGTTAATAAGAAAGTTACAGTATATTGTTGAACTGTTTGAGGAGAACTCACGAATGATAAGGAATCATTCTATAGCTCCAGAGCATCACCACAGGCCAAGCAAACCGCCCATTCAAGCAAGCAGGTTTAAAACGGGCACTGCACTAGTCTCCTTAATTCATAACATTAAATATAATTTCATGGGATGCCTTGCATTTGTCTGATATATAGAATAGAATCTGAGAGAAGGCAGTTCTTCTCATTCCGTCCAGTTCGTCAGGTTTTTCTCTCGAACACATTCACTGCATGTTGTACAGCACAGTGTTTAGCAGCAGTTCTGGGGCTGAAGTGAAGTATAAATAGCTGCAGAATGACAGAGGCTGAAAAAGCCACTGACGATGGTTCGCTTGTTTGAAGTGGGACACAGCCACCGTGCTTCACAGCATGGATACACCAAAGAAACATACACATGCATACACACACCCACAACTGCACAGCTTTGTGTTGAGTACTGGAGGTCTGCTGCAGTCAGTGCAATCTGGGCGCCTACATGGTCCCAGATGTCTTCTCTGTAATTATAGCCAGGCCCGGCTCGGCCTGGTCCAGCCCAGATCCAACCTCTCATTTACTGCGGCCCTCCCTGAATACTTAAGGTGCTTTCCAACACTGGGCAGGCCTTTACAGGAATTCTGTGGATCTGAAACTTATTTTTCTGTTAGAGAAAGCTGGAAGACTTCAGGTAAGGTGCTCATCATAAGCTGCAAATATTTATTTGGAATGATGTTAATAATATTTCTGATCAAACTTCATCTTAATTCACTACAGGAGAGGTTGGTTTTTTTTGTTTTGCTGGGACTTTAAGGGCATTTCTGCTTTATTTTATATCACATTCAGAGAGGACTGACAGGGGAGATAAGAAAGAGAAAGGGCAAGCATCGACATGTGACAAAAGTCATAAGTCTGATTGGATTCACAGTGCTGAGAGCACACCAATTCTTCTGTTTCTACTTGACTGTGTCAGAAAAATAAACCTTTTTTCTTATCACCGCGCAGGTGTTCAAAATGTCCATCGCCCAGGCAGCGGCCAAGGCCATGCTATCTGATGCCCTGCTCCAGGAGGGCTCTGGGATGAACCGGTTCAGCCACCTGGAGCTGGAGCTTCCTCTGGACAAGGTCATCAAATTTGTGTCTGTCGGCCTTCCACTGATGCTGGTGTGCATGGCGTTTGCCCGCGAGATCTCCCTGGGTGAGCAACTCCCTGTCTCCATCCTGTTTTTTAAACTATGTTCGGACCTTTGTTTTGTTTTGTTTTTTGCCCCTAATTATCCTCTATATTCATGAGAGCTTATTTTCTATTCCGTGCTTGTGCTTTGTGCTGGTTCTGCACAAAGTGTCCTATGTATAGTAATTGTGTCCTGCTTGTCCTTGAATCACTTAGTATTTATTTGCTAAACTGTACTGAGTTCAGCTTGTGATGAGGAGGGATATCACACATACTAATATCAACATATCACCACTATGCTCCGTGGTAGCTTATTCAAAGTGAACTGAAAGATCTGGACAAAAATCATGAACCAGAAAAGGAAAACTCAGATTGAATGTGTTTGATTTCAGATCAGAGTCAAAAGTCCAGGCTCGTGTTTATGCCTGTGCTCTCAAACAGCAGGTTTGCTATTTTTATCTTTGCACACGGAAACACATCTCAACCTTTAAAAGTCTAACATTAACACAACTAAATTTTAAGAGTAAAAACAATTAGAGCCAAAGACCTTCACAACACAACAGAAAACAGAATGGCAATTTTGATGCAGTTTGACAGATGGAAAATTCTGAAAACACAAAATCACAATTGGCTTGAGACTCCATTCAGCTGTTTATTTTCAACAGATTTAAACCATAGAGCAAAATGACTTTTTGGAATGGGATTCTGTGTTTTTACATGAAACAATCATCGCAGGCCGTCTGCCCATGGTCATTCAAAGAACACAAAAAGCACAACGGACAGCCAGAAGGAATCTGTTGCAGAGGAGGCTGACTCCCTTGACTTTACACCAAACGTCATTTCTCCAAGGCTGGTCTGCAATCAGCCCTGATGCTAATTGCCACGCGGGATGATTGAGAGCAGCGTTCACTAACGCTGGCACACTGTAATTACAAGGAGAAGCTCTTCCGTGGCGGCTCCCCTCTATTTCAGTCAAATAAGAGGATATGTTGATTAACCGTGGTGGGTGGGGGTAGAACATGTCATGGCGCTGATGTACGCGGGTCGACTGATGGAACTTGGCGGCCTATCTGTCGGCTTGTCAGTTGCACAACGGCACTTGATTGCGCTGCTGTCTGGAGTCGGGTTTACTTGCACCTGGACTCGCAGCCAAGAATTCTTGTACAAAGCACAAATGAGGGGATGATCTGCCAGTGTTGACTGGGGAGTGTGAGCAGGAGATAGGAGCAGAGGCAGAAATATTAGGCCCTGCTCGCTTTGCCAAATGGCTCACTGGGGCTGGGAGCAGAAGGGGAGAATATTTCACAAGTTTTCTTGGTAAGGTGTGTGATCTTGTTTTCTTTCTTTTTCATATATATAATTTGGGATGACTTGTTAACACGTGCGCCCACACATGCTCTCACAAGCAATCTGGAGAAATAGATTTCCATAGTTAGCTGCATGAGAACATACAGTGGTGTCAGTTTTTATCACAGCAGTCATCAGTTATTCCTCAGCAAGTGTAACTCCTGTAATGGTGGTGTGCAACAAAATGGAAGACTAAACTCTTGGGAAGAACTAAAAACACAAGACCAGTCAGTAACATGATTCTATCTCATTCTCTAGACACACACAAATAGTTTTTAATCTCTGTAAAACAACATTTCTGTATTCTGTTTGGTATTAACATTTCATTTTGACAATTGAAAGCAAACTCTATGAATCGCTCCAACACGGTTCCTTTTGGTTTGTAGGCCTCATAGCTTCAGGACATTTTTTAATGCTGTGACATTATTTCATTAAGTGGCTGCGAGTAATCGATGATGATGAACCACCTCGGTTTGACCATTTGTTTAGCATCTGTCCTCTGCCTTGTCCTCACCGTGTTAGCCTATAATAAAATCTGTTTCTGTGGGCGCGTCAGTACATGTGATTGATGGCCTCAAATGTGTTTGTACAGTGCATCTTGAATATCTGGCACACAGAATAACATCAAATCAAATGCATCACACACGAAGGCCAATTTCCATGTATTGATTTGTACAGCTCTTTTTTCATAACCTGTTTCTTACCATGTTCATAATGATGAGACTAATGGAAGTATTAAACTTAACTTTAGCTTACATAACTCGATTTTAGGTGTTACTATGAATATGTTAAAATGTGGCTTATTAATGAAACTCAAATACATGGACATGGAGCATGTAACGGCTGCCTATATTGAGGTGGACTGGCACAAGCAATTCCACACTAACCATAAATTAGTGGCAGCAGGTTTGTACTTAGAGGGAGCAGGGACGATGTGGAAGGCGCTCGTAAAAAATAGAAACTCCATGTTTCTCTGGTAAGGCTGTGCAGAAGGAGGGGCACACCCTTGGTGCGTTGCCTCCCAAGCTCTATGTTTAAGGGTGGAGAACCCTAAGTAAATGACAGATGGGTGCGGCACACAGATTCAAGTGGTCGGACTATATGTGGTAATGTCAAGGTGAAGTAAATATACGGTGGAGGAGCCCAATTTTGGAGTCGCCCCGGGTTTTTGAAATGCCAGGCTGCCATTTGAAATCATATGATTTCTCCTGAGCAAATCTGTTGCAACGAAAGGAAAAAGGCACACGTCTGACCATGGACCTCAAAGTGCTGAGCACTTTGCATGCATGTGTGAGTGAGTGCATGCGCGCATGCATGTGAGATATCAAGGGCTTAGGCATTGCTTATAGGCACATTGATGAAGCAGGATCAAAGCAGGCTGCAGAAACTGATTCCCCCACATGAGCAGATTATGTTACAGATCAACATGTGTTTATTCTGCAGGGCCCCAGATCAGCTGTTTCCCTCCGAGCAATTTCACCATCAAGCAGGCCAGCTACGTCGACACGTACTGCTGGGACTCTCTCATGCATCATGAGTTTGACAGCGAAGGGAACTTCGAGGAGCGCTCTCTCTGGGTTCACAAAGTAAGTTAGGACATTTCGCCTTTTCTCCACTTATTATTCTCACCTATAAGTGAGTGACAAATTGACAAATACAGAAATATTGTTATGCTGTTATTTGCAAGACCTCAGTTGAATGTGAGGGCCCTTTAATTAGAAGCTGAGGATCGCACACACTCACATTATAGCTCTAAATCCGGACCCGTGTTAACTCATCCCTAACGGTGACTTGTGGAGCCACTGTTCGTGTGACTCAGCTTATTCTCTTCCACTTTGTGTTTTGTTTCTCCCCATCTGCATCTCCTCTTCATCACCCTTTTCTCTCTTTATCCGACCAGATGTTCCCTTACTCCCTTCTGGCCATGGCGGTGCTGATGTACCTGCCAGCTCTGATCTGGCGCCAGCTCGTCATGCCCACACTGAGCTCAGACCTGCTCTTCATAATTGACGAACTAGACAAGTCATACAACCGTTCGATCCGACTGGCCCAGAGCATTCTAGATATGCGGCAGAACACCAAGAACCCCCTCACATTTCAGGCTGAGCTGCAGAGGTAAGAGGCCGCTGACTGTTGGCTTCTAGCATGAATATTCATTGCACTTGACTTTATATCTGTTCCAAATTAAATGCAACACATTAACCAGTTTTTATGTTTATGTTTTGAAAAGCCTAATCCTATGAGTGCTGATTCGCCCCCAAACAAGAATATGCCTCGTTTAATGATTCCCATAGTGAAACTGGGTCATTGCAGTTGTAAATAACTATGATCTGTCAGTAAGAAATATTGCCCAAAGATCACAGATGAGATTTTATGCTGTCGGTTTAAATCTGCTGATAAACTGGGATATGTGGTCTGGGAAAGTGACGGGTATTGTTTTCCTCTCCCTTTACAGCTATCTTTGATATATTCTTCTTTTAAAATCAAAGTGTGTCAGTGAGGATTGTTGTGGCTGCTGTGGTGGATGAATGCAGCTCCTAGCAGCCAGAAGTAGAATGCTGCGGTGGGGTTGGGAGGCCCCCAGTTTGGAAATGTGTGAAGTTCTTTGAACATGAATGAGAACATGGGGCTGAGTTTCCTCTCTTTCTCCGATCGCAGGGCCAAGAAGAAGCGATACTTTGAGTACCCTCTACTGGAGAGATACATGCAGTGCAAGCAGAACTCCTACTTCCTCGTTAGCATGCTTTTCTTGCGGGGCTTCCTCCTCCTGACCTTCATGACCGCTGCCTGTCTCTACTTGGCCTACTTCCACCTCTCCGCCTTCCTGCAGGACGAGTTCAGCTGCTTTGTCCGCACGGGCATGCTGCGTGACCAGAACTGGGTTCCGGAGCTGGTTCAGTGTAAAATGATTGGCCAGCTGGTCTTTCAGGTGATAAGTGTGGCCAATGGCGCAATTTACGTCCTGTTGGCTCCCATTGTTCTTTTCAGCTTGATCCGGCTCTTCGTTTGGGACACCACCTTCATCTCCATCTATGAGGTGCTTCCAGCTCTGGATATCATCAACCGCCGTCGGCTTGGCTGCCCGCTGAATGACCTCAATGTCCTTCTGCTGTTCCTGCGTGCCAACGTAGTGCACTTGAAGTCTTATGGAAAAGTGAGGGCATTGTGTTCACTGGCGCCGCCACAGGTGGGCAACACCACAGCAGGGCAAGGCTTACATGCAATGTTAACCCAAGAAGAGATAGAGGAACGTGAAGAGGCTGCGTTGGAGCTGGCAGAGGAGGTGCAGGAGGCCAAGGAGGAGGGGAAATTCAACTTAGTGGATATCATGACTATTCTGGGAGCAGCACAAGGACGAGTGGTAAACTGCAGCGAGAAGAGGCCTCTCGTGGAGGAGAATATGAGTCTGGGTACCGTAACACTAATCTACACACTCAAACGCATTCTGCTAGTGGCTATTTTTGTCTTCATCATTTGGGATGTACAGAAAATTATTAAGTGAGCTCCAGAATACAGATACAGGCTCAGAAAATGAATAAAAAGTGCTTTGAATATAACTGAATGCAGAATCATTTCATATGGATGTCGATCTGAGGAAACAGTTTGAGAAACATTTGGAACAGTAGGCAGTGAATCAAAATACAGCTGCTTGGTTAAATTGTTTCCCTGTATTGTTTCTAACTGTTTTGCTTTTGTTCTTTCTTTTTTCAAATCAAACCGATAACTGAAACTCGCCTATATTTCTAAAAGAGTCTTTTAAAACCACTGGCTGACGTAGAAGAGATAGATATGTGGTACTTCCGAGCCCTAACTGCCCTCTCTGTCTCTTCACAGAGCCAAACCACCAGGGGTACCATGAGTTGAAGGAGACAGCACCATTTAGTCATTACTAGGCCTCCTATGGACTGAATCAATGTGATAACAGTGAGGGGGGGTTGGCACACAGTAGATTTTCAAGAGTACTGTACACAAAGACTGCTGACACCATTCATGGGTTTTTGCCATCTGGAGACAAAAAAAAGCCTCTTTTAGAATTACAGGGCAATAGTTCTGGCTGGAAATGTCAGTGGATTTGTCATTTTTAAGCAGCTGCAGATCTGTAGCTGCCACAGACATTTCCTTCTGTCTGGATTTTAAGAAGCCAAGGAACCATGCAAGTGAAATGACTATTATCATCATAGTGCAAGAAGACAGACTGGTAAATCTCAACTAAGGCTGACCCCACAGTAACTAACTATATGTCACCATGACTTTCTTATCATGTGCATCTGTGTGTTCTGAAAATATACAATATACTGTATATATCAGTCAAGTCATGTTTTATGGATTCTATCAGCAGTAACATCCTGCAACTTATATTTAATGAACTTAAGGTAAAATGAACGAATATTGTAATTAACATACTCACTTTTTGCTTTCTTCTATTTTTATTTACTTTTATATGAGATGAAAAGAATCTTTATGTATTATTTGTACTTTTGAATAAATGAAGGTGTAATTACTGCAGTTTCCTTCGTCATTACATCGAAGTTAAAAGTAAAACTATGTGAATTAGATTTACAAAGTAGAATTTTTGTCGAACAAGCTTCCAGTGCAGCACATCAGAAAGTCAAACTGAACGATCCCTTTAAGGACAGCCGAGAGCCACTTGTCTTTTTAGTGCCTTTATTTTTAGTACGTCATTTCAGAGTTGGGTGGACTGAACAGTGTCTGAGTGCAGACGTGTCACATACAAAAGGTAGAAACCACATGAACATAGTCTCATCAAGGCTATAATCAATGACTGAGAGTTATTTTCGTTTTGTGAGCTAGGAGAACTGTTTTCAGGAGTCAATGTTGGCTTCACAGTCATATATGCAAACATGAAATGCACAGTGTGTGAACACTTTTACACAGCTATTACATGACAGTTGTTTTCTTTGAAAGTGTTTGTAATTCAGACTTAACTAGTGCATGGGGTACCTGATCTGAACCAGCCTGTTTGGAATGGACTGCTTGCTTGGCCTGTGGTAATGCTGGTTCCAACATTCTTTTTGAAACTTTAAAGGTGACCTGAACAAGTAAAGACCTGCAGCAGGTCCCCAGAATCCTGAAGGTGCACCCGAAGAGATATTCACCTGTTAAACCAAGTGCAATCGTTTCACGTGTCCAAATCACACAGAATTCAACACTGAACTTCCTCTCAACAACACACATGCCAAGTGTGAAGCTAACAAGATTCGAAACGGCTTTCGACCTATGCGAGTCGCAAAGACAGAGAAACAGACATTTCTGGAATTAGTATCAAATCTAGTTTATTTCTGAAGCACATATTAAAAAAATAAAAAGGGGGGGGGGGGGGTGGCAAAGTGCTGTGCAATAAAATAACAATAAGAAAAGAACCTTTAACAAACTCATAGAATGGTAAATAGTAGATAGGTTAACCAGGAAATATAAGTATGAGTGCCTCAGAGCAACCAGAAGCCCTCTGAGCTGGACGCATTGGAGACACACCGCTTCCTTTACATGAACCGGCCATGGCAGAAAATATATTTAACCAACGGTTGAGTCACCATGTGTGACTATTCTACTGAAGAAGAAGAATTACTGCTTTGCAACGATACTGTACAGCATGCAATTATTGTGATGTAGTCAGAGATACAAAGGCTGGCTGCTTTCCTTGTGGTTAAGAGGAGCCACTGGTGTACAACAAAAAGCAATGTTGCTCTGATACTTCTAATGAACCCTTTGGAAGTCCAGTCACAAAGGATGTGTGACAGAATTTCATGTCACTCCAAAAGCTTAATGAAGTGTGTTTTATCATGGAAAGGCATTACAGCTTTTAGTATAATCTCTATGCCAAAATAATGGTGAGGCTTTTCATGCCGCAGTAAAACTTTACAGAATATCTGAGGATTTTTCTCGTCATCAACAGTCATGCACGCAGGATCCCATCCTCTGTCATCCATCTGGCACAGAGTGAGAAAACAGTACACAGATGGTGATCATGACTGTTTTAACAGCATATTCTCAATGGAAGAGAACTTAACACAAAGACAAACACAGGAGTATCCGCTGCCTGTGACAATGCAGCCGTTGTCTTGGCTGCAGCTGGCCAGCTCATGCCACTTGAGGGCATCATTGAGTCGTGCTGAAACCAGACTGCCTGCCACGTTTTGATAGCAATGTATTAATTTAGGGCTGCATCACAAGTGGGGTCACTGTTGGTATTTATAATTCCTGTAATCAAAACAAAAGAGAATGCAGTCTCATTGAAACCAGCCTTATCAGGTCTTCACCAGGTCCAGACTCCTCTGCCAGAGTCTGTTAAAGCGTCTGTGCCGCAGCCAATTTCCCAGAGTCAGTATGTGTGGAGGCTGCTGCCGCTGCTGCTGCTGCTGTGATTGGAGCACTGCCTTTTGGAATCAAGGAGCTGCTGGCGATCTTCATTGAGTTGGGCCGGGTCAGCAGGCTGGACACCAACACTGTTTGCACTCCGTGCACCCCCCACCTTCAACCACAAAAAATCCTGGGCTTGATGCCTCTGTATGAAAGCATGGTTTTAATTGAGTGAAATGAGAGATTCAGCCTGCTCCTGTCTGCCTGGTGGATGACGATGACTTTTACATCCAGACAGTTCTCAGGCGGTTTCATCTCACGTAACTTTCCTGCAGCTGGAATAAAGCAGGATCCAAGTTTGTGCTGTTTTGTGCTGTCTGAAACTGTGCATTGGAAATCTACAGATGGGAACAGGCAGAAATGTCTTATTACTTTGCCCTCATTCTAATTGTTTCCGCAGTATATGGCAACGTGTGTTAGAGGCATAGGTTAGAGGCTGGTGTGAGAGTAGGGCTGGATTTGTTTGCTATAAAACTAACCACGCATTCATATCATTGGAGAAGACCTGTTTATATTTTTGTGAAGTAAATAGCTTCCAGAAATAAAGCCACCCTTTTCAAGGTTCTAGTTTTACAAATGCACAGGTTTGCTATTACCATCACTACCTGTAAAAGGAGTCAAGGTCACATGCCAATAGAGTTTCATGTGGTTACAGCATTCAAAACAGGAGCTAATAGGAAACCTTTAAGCACAGTTGAGGTGACCTTCGGTTCACGACACAATTGATCCACTGTGGCTCAGCTCCTCATTCAGATGGCCATGCAATAAAAGACAGAACCTTACATTACAAGTGACAGCCACACGGAGCAGAAAACACACACTCAGGCAGTTTTGTGCCGGTGTAGCTAATTAAGAGAAAGTTGTCCAAGAAAGGAAAAAGAGCCAAATCTGCAGCAGTCCTCATTGACCCCTCTCATCGTGGAGAGCTCTTCATCTGCAGAGGATGGTGTAATGGCTCACTCTGCGTTTGAATCACAGGTTTACTTTTAAGCACGCTTACCTTTTTCTGGGAGACTAATCGGTGCCGTTTTTCCTGAGGTTTCCGATTCATCAAGTTTGAACTGAATGAACCTTTTTTCTTTGTTCAGCCATGTGAGATAGATAACATTACCTGAATGCTTCCTCTTCAAACAGAGCACTGCCACTGCTGCAGGAAATCCACATGAGCTGCAGCATGAAAACACCTACCTAGCACCTGCTGCGTGTCTTCCACCTGGCTATGCATGAATCACATGTGTATATTTGCATCTGTATGGTGGGATTCATTGGGCTTGTTCCTCAAAATCTCTGGCATTTGTGATAGAGCAAGCAATCACTGTATTTAAAAAACATCAAGGTTTATTTGTGAATCTCCTCAATAAGAAGCAGACATGCAATCCAGAGGTTTATTATTAGTAGACTGTGTGTCCACAAGGCTTAACCTTATGTTATGGGCCTCGGCTGCTTAGTTACTGATATTTTAAATGTGGTGCAATGTTTTCTGTTCTCCCACAGGTTAACCAATCCACCACCATACGCACCTCCAGGGGATTCCTCCTGGAGCACCGCCCTGCACCCCCCACTGGCATTAGAATCCAATATTCCTCCTCTGATTTCGCTAACTACCCATGATGCACCTTTGGGTCTAAATAGAGGTTTTGCTTTTTATTAATTTTATGATCTGGCTTCAACAGCTGCCCCTAACCCATTGTCCCTCAGACTGTTCAATGCTCATTAATATTGCTTATGTGAATCTTATTTGGCACTACTTCAACAAGAGGATTCTTTGCCAGATAATATCAGCGCTCTGTTGCTTCTCTTGCTCCTAGCCCCATACTAGGTTGTTACACCTTACTTTTCTAGTTTTCCTACATAAATATTGTGACTGTCAAGCAACAAGATTCCACATGAGGAAAGACAGGAGTTCATCCGGGTTCCCTGTTGTTATCATATGCGCATAGCTGATTTTAGACTCAATCAGCATGACAGAGTGAGCTCCAGCCTTGTCTTTGTCAACACTCTCACCTGTGTTAATGAGAGCATCGCTGACATGATATCAGCTGCTCCTTTTGTGGCTGAAATGCAGTGGAAATGTCTTTTTGGGATTAAGTTCATTTTCATGGCAAAGAGGGATTTAGCAATAATTGCAATCTGATCATCTGATCACTCTTCATAACATTCTGGAGTATATGCAAATTGTCATCATAAAAACTGAGGCAGCAGACTTTGTGAAAATTTATATTTGTGTCAACTTTTGACCTCAACTGTAGGTCTGTTGATGGCGTTTCTAACATGCGACAGACACAAATGTTAAAATCTGAAGAGTGAAAAGTGAAAAAGAATCTCTTGCTTCATGTTCCCATATGAAAGGCAAAATGTGGAGAAAGGGTCTGACCAAATTGTTCAGACATTCTCCAGAGTTCACTTCAACTAAAGTTATCTAGGTTAACAAGCATTATGGTTATAATTTGTATTGTTTAACACACATTCCCTGTGAGGCAGAGCTGCTGTCATCGACTCCAGCAGGAAGCACAACCCTGTTCCAAACGTTTTGTGTAATTCCAACTGCATTTACACAGCACCGGGGTAGGTCTGACCTCCAGTCTGACTCCAATGCACCCTGACTCATAGCACAGACAGGCTTCTTACCTCAGGTGTCAGTGTCAAGTACGGCTGTCGGCAGGTACAGACGTGGGATGACACGCAGGGAAAAGAAGGAGAAGGGGCTGACATTGTGTTTCAGTCAGTGCTGTCATCTCCTGACACTGATAATGTCCCGAAAGGTGAAAACATATCTCCCCTCTCCGCCTCTGCAGAGCACTGAGCAACAACTGGTGTATCATTTCAGCTCAGTTATTCATTTAGTCATTTACACTGCACGTACCAAAATAATAGGCTGGTTGTTTGAGAGGAGAGCTGGCATCACATTTCAGCTGCAGTGCTGAGACAAGATGCACACTCAGATAAAAGCAGCTGTGGTACTGATGTTGTTTGCTGTCTGCATGTTACTGCTGCTGATGTGCATTTTAATACCTTTACTTCTGGTGGTTGGATAATTGCCTTACAGCCTCATTTATTTTTATTTAAGTCCACTTCAAGCTAAATAAAGAAAACATCAAATCTTT